AATAAATCTTATTTTATTTTTATATTTTTTAGGAAAATAATCATAATAAAAAAGAAAAACAGTAAAAACTAGAGATTTCTTAGCTCATTTTTAAAAAGTTATGATTTTTAAATGTTACCATTTATTTTTCCCTATGACGTCTTTATGGCGTCAAAGCTTAGGAACCTGTTGATCAAAACAACTTTTTTTCAATTATTTTAATATTTAAATTTAAAGCAATGCAAAAAGAATTTTAACAAAACTAAAAGATTCAAGGTCAAAAATGTATTGTATATTTAAAGATATTGTATGAGTCATAGTTAAACAATCACTTTGTATACCAAAAATTACAGATATTCGACTTAAGAAGCAGATTACTCACAGAGAGAAGTTATCGGATTAATGTTTTACTATCGGGAAAATTTTTCAATTTTTGAGGGTTATCTAGTCTTCAAATAGATACAATTTGTGATTTTTTGACAAAACACAAACTAAATAAAAATAGTGACAAACACAAAAAAATTAATTAAAAAATTAATACCTACTCAGTTTTGCATCGAAACTAAAACTATTAGTAAAACAAGTTTATAGTTAATTTAGACATTAACAAAGTTTAATTTTATAATAATTCTTTATTTATGTTTTCTATCATACTATTTAAAATTTTTATACTTATTAAATGATTTAGGTTTTGAAATTATGTTTTTTTCCTTAAAAAGTCTATTTTGGATGGATTTTTTAGTTATAATTTATTTAAAGGTAGATGAAGACGACTTAATTATTTAAATTATTTTTCAATTTTTTCATCATCTATGACATAGATTCTATGTCTAATATTATTTATTAGTCTTGAAACTGGTTCGGGTTATTTTCACTTTTTCTTATTATAAATTGTTGTATATTCTATTAAATGTTTAATAATCATCCTATAATTATAAATCTAATTAACCATTATAATGTTAGTATAATGATTAACTAATCTAACTAAACAAAATAATCATGCATTTCAACGCGACTTCATGTTTATTATAAAATATTCTTTAAATATATTATATTTAAAGAACATCTTGTAAAAAAAAGCTTATTAAGCGTTTTCGTTTTTTCTCTAATTTACTTTGTATGGATTTCACACAGTTCAATTATTTAGTAGCTAAGATCTTGTGTAAAAAAATATATTTTATTTATATAAAGATAGCTTATTAGCTTCGATGCGAAGCTGAGAAGGTATTGGTTTTACTAAGATGTGTTTTTTTTTTTTTTTTTTTTTTTTTT